GGCAATATGGCAGAGAGCACAGACATGGAATCCTTGCAGGAAAGCTTCCGGAAATTCGCCATCTATGGAGACACCAAAGCGACGGGGCAGGAAATGAATGGAAAGAACTGGGCCAAGCTGTGTAAAGAATGTAAGGTGATTGATGGAAAAGGGGTTACCGGCACAGAGGTGGACATCGTCTTCACCAAGGTGAAGTAAGTATCTTTTCTGTGTTGGCTTCTTGACAGGGTTTCATTGATGAAATGGAGAAGCTCTGAAACGGAGTTTTCAAACAAATGTAGAACACACCATTAAAGCATATTATCACTGTATTTTAATGTATGTATGTATGTTTTTTTATTCCAGGCCCTCTAGACAGCATATCCTAGAGCAGGAGTGTCAAACTCAAGGGTTAGATTAGGGTTAGGGTTGTAATGGCTGTATCTGGCCCGCGAGGTGTTTAGATCTGGCCCGCAGGGCTACCCTGGAAACAGCGAAGGACCGGCTTACGGTACCTCTACCAGTGAAAACGGAGCTCAGGAAGGCTGTGTGCGAGACCCTCCCAAGCACCGTTTTCACTGGCAGAGGGTTGCAGGAAGCCGTTGCAGCCAAAAACGGAGCTCAGGAGGGCCATGTGCGGCTCTCTTGAGCGCCGTTTTTGCTGGCAGAGGGTTGCAGGAGGCTGTCGCAGCCGAAAATAGAGCCCAGGAGTCCGTTTTCGCTGGCACAGTGCTTGGGCCACCACAGTCACCCCCCCAGTACGAGTGATGTCGAGCTGGCCATGCCCACCCTGGCCAAGCCCACCCCCAGCCCCCAAAGTCAAACACAACCCTGATGCGGTCCTCAATAAAATCGAGTTTGACAGCCCTGTCCTAAAGGGATTGCTGAAGCCCCTGCCTGCTTTCAAGGGAACTCCATCCATAGGGAGCCTGTTGTGGTCTGTCAGCGGCCTGTGTGGATTGTAGCTGATTCTGACAGCAAGGAGGCTGGTGTGGTGCTGTGCCAGCAGCCTGTGCAGCTGGCACTCGAGTCAGACAATGAGGACGCTGGAGAAGATGTGGTGCCAGAGGCGGGGATTTAGCCAGGGCCTTCAGAACCTCCAGAAGCTCCCTTAAGTGAAGAGGAAGAAGAGGAGGAGCCTCTTCTCGATGCACGGGCGCGCAGAGCTGCCAAAAGGCAGGAGTGCTCCTCAGGAGGAGGTCTCCTCGAGAGTAAGGCTTGGGGCTAATTGGCCACTCTCTTAGCCTATTTAAGGACGGACGACGTCTGAGGCAATTTGCAGGGAACAACTTTGTTCACTCTCCTTCGTGTCCTGATCTTAGTTCTCTTATCAGTTTCCTGCAAATTGCTTCTGGGCTTTCTGCCAACCATAGTAAGATTACGATTATTTATTCTTTGGATTCTTGTAGGCTGTTAAGAAAGTTAATTAACAGCCTTTGTTTGAAAAAGACTGGTTTAATTTAGTAAACTAAGGTTTGTACAGACTTTGTGTGTGCTGCGTTCTTTGGGGTCCGTAGCTGGGGCAGAACAGAGCCTGAGCTTTTTCAGTGGTGCCCCCTTTCTGGGAAACAGTTTGTCTGTAAACATCTGGACCAAGAGGCAGTTTTATGTAGCGGTTAAGACACCAAGTTAAAAACCAGGAGACTGTGAATTCTAGTCCCACCTTAAACACTAAGCTGGCTGGGTGACCTTGGCCAGTTACTCTTTCTCAGCCCTAGGCAGGAACAACCCCAAACTACTTCTGAAAAAAAGCTTGCCAAGAACGCTGCAGGGATTTGTCTAGGCAGTTGCCAGGCGTCAACACTGACTCGAAGGCACACAAGCAAGCCTTTGGATCACAACCACCAACTCTTGCTAAGTTTGGAAGACGTTGAGTTCAGGCTGGTCTATTCTGGGTGCCCCTGGGCAGTAGTGGATTGCCCCCGGTTCACACCGGTTCTATAGAACAGGTAGTAAAACCGGCGGGAGGCTCCGCCCACTGACCCCAATATCATGAAAACGCTTCTGCGCTTGTGCAGAAGAACGGCGTGCGCGCAAGCGAAATGAGCTCGTGCGTCGCCCTGTTGCGAACCGGTAGTAAAGATAAGTAGAACCTATCCCTGCCCCTGGGACTGTTTTTGAGATGATAGGATTGTGTATTGTTTGAAGGTTTTGATGATTGCCCGTGACTCTCCTGAGCCTACAGCCATTGTGCAGCGTAGTAATTCCAATAAATACAAATAGATCTCTGTCTCTCTCACACACACAAACCTCACCCAGTTTCCCTGGCTGAATGCCAACTTGGACTTGGCACAGCTGAGGACCACATCTGTGCTTCTGAGAAGACCAAATTGTTCCGATTTGATCCAAAGTATTGGCAGAATGTCTTTTGCTACTACTCCTTTGGCTCAGCACGTCATCTGTTGTTTCAGAGGTTAAGTCCTTAGTTCTGGCAGAAAACGTAGTTTAGTCTGCTGGCTTTGTTTGTTGGTAAAGGAAAGGTCTTGATTACAGAAACAAATTGTTTAATTGGAGGGAGGAGAGAGAGAGAGAGAGAGGGAGGGAGAGAGAGAGAGAGAGGGAGGGTTGTGGGTTAAACCGAGGGGGGGGATTGAAAAATTTTAGCAACCGGTTCTCTGCCTGGTTTCTGGGTGGGCGTGGCCATGGCGACGTGGCCTACTTGGCCTCCTGTACCATGGTGGGAGAAGCGTTTTCTCCCTCCCCAGGCTCCAAAGGCTTTCCTCGAGCCTCTGAGAAGGCAAAAACGGCCTCCCCAGGCTCCGGAGGCCCTCTGGAGGCTGGAAATGGGCCTGTTTCCGGCCTTCCCAAACTTCCAGTAGGCCTATTTTCGCCCTCCCTGAGCTTCCATGCACGCCCTGCACTTACCTGCATCCAAAATGGGCTGTGAGGGGACTCCTGGGAGGAGTGGGGTGGGGTGGGCGGGGTGGGGCCAGCCAGGAATGGGATTTGTGGGTTCTCTGAACTGCACAGCATCTTAGCTAGAGGTTCTCTCAAACCCCTGCGAACTGTAGCTGGGACTCCAGAACTGTAATAGAGGCTTTCTCTTGGCATGGTCGAAGGTTATTTTATTTTATGAAGCTTGGCCTGCTATCTTTTACAATTTTTATTTGATGTTCTGCATTTTTTTTAATGGCTTTTATCTATTCTATTTTAACCCGGCCAGAGTCTTTAATGCGAGATGGGTATAAATCAAATCAATCAATAAATATGATGTCCTCCTGGCAGGATGGTACTCCTGCCTCTGAAGAGAACTCGGTCACACTCCCAAGATACTATTTATATTCAAAGAAACCAGACCACAGGTTATAAAACACACGTATCCAAAATAAAGACGCAAACAAGTGGGACCCCTCCCCGCTCTTGCCTTGAAGCAGGAGTGAAATGTAAAATTTGTTACTACCGGTTCTGTGGGCGTGGCTTGGTGGGGGGGGGGGTAATGTGACTGGGTGGGCGTGGCCAACTTTTTTTTTGTTTTAACTTTTCAAAGCATTTTTTCTAATGCTTTGAAAAGCCTCTGCCGATCAGGCAACTCAGCTGGGATCGTCAGAGACTTTTCAAAGTATTTCTTTTACCACCTCTTCGGCCAAGAGGTTGCAGAAAAAAATGCTTTGAAAAGCCTCTGACGATCCCAACTGAGCCGCGCGATCATCAGAGGCTTTTTCTTTTACTTTTAAAAGCATTTTTTCGTCGGAAGTGGTTGTAGAAAAAATGCTTTTAAAAGTAAAAGAAAAAAAAGCCTCTGATGATCATGCGACTCAGCTGAGCATGGGAGGGGACGGGCGTGCAGGGATTTTTGCTACCAGTTCTCCGAACCACCCACCGCCGTCGCTACCAGATCGGGCAATCTGGTCTGAACTGGGAGCATTTCACCTCTGTCTTGAAGCATATGGAAAAGGACTGCAATTCGTGAGGAGTTGTCTGAGACTAAGCCCCCATAAAGCCCCACAAACCCTTTTTTTCTAGAGAAATGAAAACCCCCATTTATTCTTCCTGCTGGGCCTGGGCATAAAAAGGCGGAGGGCAACCATCGTAGAAGGGGGTCCTTTCCTGCTTTGAGCTGTTTGTGAACTCTTTGTTCCCGTCGTCTTACAGAGCAAAATCGTCCAGGGTCATCGGTTATGAGGAGTTCAAGCGGGCCTTGGAAGAACTGGCGCCAAAGCGGTTTAAGGATAAAAGCAGCGAGGAGGCTTTCAACTCCATCTGCCAACTGGTGGCGGGCAAAGAACCAACCAACGTGGGCGTCACCGTGAGTCTTGCTCCTGGGAGAGAGGGAGGGAGGGAGGGAAGGAAGGAAGGGAGACAGAAAGAGGACGGGAGGGAGGGAAGGAAGACAGAAAGACAGAACGAGGAAGGGATGGATTTATGGCATTTTTGGATGCCATGGCCTCTTGCAACCGTCCGCCAGAGAAAATGGAGCTTGCAAGAAGTCTATATTTCTCCCCAGGTAGAGGAAGGCGAAGAGGACAGATAAGTCAGTCTTGAGAAAACAGAGCTTGGGAGGGCTGCCTACGGACCTCCCGAGCTCCGTTTTTGCTGGCAGAGGCGCCATGGGCTGGTTCTTTCCTGTTTCCAGGGCGGCCCCACGGGCCACATCCAGCCCCCAGGCCTTGAGTTTGACACCCCTGTCCCACAGCCTTAAGGAGGTAGGTTGCCCACCATGTCTTCTTAGATAGCTCCATTCCAGAGTGTCAGGGATGATTGATTGAGCTCCACTCAAGCTCCACTCCAGAGTGTCAGAGATGGTGATGGCGGTTGGGCGTTGGTCAAAGATGGATTCTAAGCTGCGCCTTGTCTTTGTGATTTCCAGAAAGCCAAGAGCGTCGGGGCTGTGGAGAGGCTGACGGACACCTCGAAGTACACTGGATCCCACAAGGAACGCTTCGACGAGACCGGGAAGGGCAAAGGAAAGAGCGGGCGGGAGAACATCGTAGACAACAGCGGCTACGTATCGTCCTACAAGAACGCTGGAACCTACGATGCCAAAATGAAGAAATAAGGGCCGCTGTCGCAGCCTGTGCCGAAGAAGGGGGCGCCCCAGTGACATACCCCTTGTATTGGGGGTGGGTGGGGGTTTTTTTTTGCTGGGCCCGCTCCCGGGTTCTGAGTTGCAAAACGGAAGGGTTGCTGCTGTTCTCCATCTTGGCCTGGCCTTTTGCTTCCCATACCCCCAGAATTGCATCTGTAACACCTCCCTTGTCTCAGATTTCTATCCCGGGCTTCTCCTCACCCTCAACAGCTTCTCAGGCTTCCCACCCACTCGCTCAGGTGAATCTTCAAGACTAAATATGGCTCTTCCCGAGGGAATCTTGCTTGGGGTAGAACTTCTGCTTCTCACGTTAAAGCAGCTGTTAAAGGCACCAGGAGTGCGTGAGGGAAACCAAGTTGGCTGCCTTCCCCCCAACTCACCGACCTCCGAGAAGGCCTCAACCACCTTGTCCGTGTTGCGCCAGTGCTCAAAATCCTCTCACCTAGCCTGTAACCTGTCCTGACCATGTAGGTTGGACTGCAGCTCCCATTGTTCGTAGGCCAGTTGTGGCACTCTTGTCTGGCATAATGGGAGTTGTAGTCCCGCACCTCTGAAGTGTGACTGGTTGGGGAAATCCTGTCCTCTGGCATCATTTCACCGCTTCTGAGCTTTATAAGTCAAGCTGTATATGAATAAAGTACTACTAAATATATTCCTCAAATTACCAGAAGCTGCTGTCTTGTAGATCCTGTTCACCCCACATATCAATGGGGGCTGATGAATCTCTCTCTCTCTCTCTCTCTCTCTGTTGCTGAAGCATGCTTGGTTACACTAAACCAGTGATGGTGAACCTTTTCGGCTCCAAGTGTGTGTGCGTCTGGGCCACAACCCGGAAGAGGAATTGCCCAGGTCACATGCGCGCGCCCGAAAATTAACTTCCGGTTTCAGCTACTGAACTTCCGGTTTGAGCCAGCTACTCTTCCAGGTTTCTGGCACGCATGTGCATGTAATGATCAGTTGGCCAGCACACATGGTCATGCAGGAAAATGGAAGACCAGCATTTCTAGTTTCCGGCACTGCCGCATGTCATCCGTGCATGCGTGTCAGAAACCCGGAAGAGGAACGGGCGATGGCGCACATGCCAGGCGACATGGCTCCATGTTCCACTTCGAGCACATGTGCTATAGGTTCGCCATCACGGCACTAAACCATGGTTTGTTCAGCCCTGTTTATCCAATGAGCTCCCGCTGGCTGGGATAAGGGAATATATAAAGCTAACATCACACCCCCCCCCAAAAAAAACAGACTAGGGTTCAGTGCAGTCACCATCTTTCAGTCTTCCTTAAGGCCTTGGGCTCCAGCAATATTGGAAGGCCACAATTTGATGTGTGGGTTTGCACCAGGCGTGAAATCTACTTACCTTCCCTACCAGTTCAGAAGTGCTCGCGCCGACCCTCTGCGCATGCGCAAACTCTTCAGCGCCTGCGTAGAAGGTAAAAAAACAGTTTACTTCCTGGTTAAAACCAGGAAGTAACGATGACCGGGCGATTGGACGGAGCTTCGAGCTGCCATCGTTACTGGTTTTCTGAACCACAGGCCGTCATTGCTACCGGCTCGGCCGAACCGGTCCGAACCAGGAGCATTTCACCCCTGGTTTGCACTTAATAATTGGATTATAATACAGCAGGATAATAAGCCAACTGCGCTATACTGGGCCTCTTCCAGGATTGTTCCTGTTCGGAGACCCCTGAGGTTAAGGCTGTCATCTCCTCTTCCCTGGCGTGTTTCACCTGCCCCCTTCCAAGAAAACGTAACTGGCATCTCCTTCTCTTGCTCTCGAGCTATTTCAGTGTCTTGGAAAATGTTGGGGCAGTTGTTTTGTTGCCAGCCTGGAATTCCCTGCCTTTCTGGTAAGGGGTGTGTGTGTGTGTGTGTGTGTGTGTGTGTGTGTGTGTGTCTTTTGTCCAAGCCTCTTGGGGATTCTTAGTGGCATGGCTCCCAGCTGTTGAATTGATGGCCTTGCTGCTATTTGTCCTCACGCACATCCGTCTCACATTTTTCCCAGCATGGTTATTCTTCCTCCCGACCACTTTTGGGTTTGTGCACCTGGGCACAGGGGACGGCCGCAGGTGCATGTGACATGATTTCATGCACCGCAACACGTCATCATCATCATCATTGCTCACACAGGGCAAAAGACATCGTTTGCATCATCAAGGGGGACTGAATTTACAGGCCGCCAAAAAACTTAATGCAAGAATTAGTCTTTGGCAATTGCAGCTGGGCACGGCTCGTGAATTTTTGCACAAAGTACCACGAAGGAAGCTTTTTAAATTGCATGGGAAACAAGGACAATAACCATGGGACCCATTTTCACGGGTTGTTAGAAAGCAGTGGTGTACAGAGAGGGACACGAAGGACCGGCAGACAGGAGCGCCCTCTGCTGATCAATGTACATATGTTATGATGGGTGTCTCTCGGTTCATATCATCTTTTTAAGTTTAACAGAAGATAATAGAATAAGAGAGTTGGAAGGGACCGTGGAGATCTTCTAGTCCAACCCCCTGCTTAGTCAGGAAGCCCTATACCCGTGATGGCGAACCTATGGCACGCGTGCCACAGGTGGCACGCGTAGCCATATCAGTGGGCACCCCAGCTCAGCTCCGGCGTGCATGCCAGCTGATTTTCAGGCCTTCTGGGCCCACCAGAAGTAGGGAAACAGGCTGTTTCCTGCCTCTGGAGGGCCTGGGATGGGTGGGGAAGGCCTGTTTTTCTTTCTCACCTGGATCCAGATCCTCTCTACGCATCTGGGGAGGGCAAAAACAGCCTTCCCCACCCGCTCGGAGATCCTCCGGAGGCCTGAAATGGCCCGCATCAAATTATGGGTGTGGGCACACACGCGCGCGAACCTCCCCCGCCCCCCCTTCCTGGCACGCGATGGCAAAAAGGTTAGCCATCACTGCCCTATACCATTTTAGACAAGTTGTCCAACATCTCCTTAAAAACTTCCAGTGTTGGAACATTCACAACTTCTGGAGGCAAGTGGTTCCACTGATTAATTGTTCTAACTCTCAGGAAATTTCTCCTTAGTTCTAGGTTGCTTCTCTCCTTGATTAGTTTCCATCCCTTGCTTCTTGTGCTACCTTCAGGTGCTTTGGAGAGTAGGTTGACCCCCTCATCTTAAAACACTGGAACACTGTTATCATGTCACTCTTAGTTCTTCTTTTCATTAAACTAGACATACCCAGTTCCTGCAACCGTTCTTCATATGCCTCCAGTCCCTTAATCATCTTTGTTGCTCTTCTCTTCACTCTTTTTAGAGTCTCAACATCTTTTCTACATTGTGGCGACCAACGGATATATATATATATATATAAAGTAGTACTAACATTTCACGTGATTTTGATTCTATCCCTCTGTTAAAGCAGCCTAAATACTGTCTAGAGGTGATCGTGGCAGCTTTCCTACACTGGAAACATTGTTAGACAGGGCTCAGTTTAACTCATTGATTTTTTTAAAGGACGCCCCTGTCACATACAGTATTTTTTGGAGTATAAGACGCACCAGACTATTTTGGTGACGAAAACAAGAAAAAGAAATCTGCCTCTGTCTCCCAGCAATTTTGCCTTGTTGCAGCAAACAGCAAACAGCCTGCTTTACTTTCATTTTCGTTTTCAGCATAGCTTGATTAGCACAAGAAAAAAAAATCTGCTCCCAGCAATTTACCTCCTTGCAGTAAGCAGCAGAGGCCCACGCAAAACAGGTAGGGCTACCTGGGGTTGAAAAGTTCAATAAATCCCCTGCCAGCTGGTGTCGCACACTGGTGGTTGTGACGCATATTTGAATGACAGGGAGCCACAGCAGAGGGGTGAAAGAGCCACATGCGGCTCCAGAGCCACAGGTTGCTGACCCCTGATTTATACTGAACTGAAAGCAGTTGCTCTGTGATTTGTTTTCTCACCACCAGATGGCGCCGGAGAACTGTCATTCATTTGGTTTCTTTAAGTTCATAGATAGAAGGTGCTTTAGAGGTGTAAAGAAAGGAGAAAAAAATATATTTGGCCTAACCCTAAACCAAATGCTACCATAAATGTAGGATAACAACTCAGTAACTATTAATCCATCTTTGTGACGGATATACAATGCAACTCTCGCGTGTTATTTCTAATGCAAGGAGAATTCGATGACTGAGTCCTAAGGTTACGGATTGCAAAACTGGACATTTCTTATCATTAAGAAAATAGGAAAAACAGTGACTTCAGCTCCGCTTCTCAGTCATTTCCATTCGTTGGCTCTTGCTTTGTGCAACAAAGCTCCGGTTTTCACAGTGATAGACCTTCAGGTATCTAAAGACATCACTGAAGTCTCCACTTTGTTTCCCAAACTAAGCATGTCCAGCTCTTTGGATCGTCCTTCCTTACCACTTCATCGCCGTCCTTTTAAAAATGTGGTACCCAGAAACATGCAATGATAAATAAGTCTGATAGAAATGATAGATGATAGATAGATGATAGACAGACAGACAGACAGACAGACAGACAGACAGACAGACAGACAGATGATAGATGATAGATAGATGATAGATGATAGATAATAAATGATAGATAGATAGATGATAGATAGATAGATAGATAGATAGATAGATAGATAGATAGATAGATGATAAAGCTGGGAGGAAGGCCCTGGAAACATGGAGGCTGATTGGAAAGATGGTTTATTGATGAAGCAGAACCAGATGGGTTTGTGGTTCTGGGCAGCTGACCACATGGAATTGAGAGTGAGGGGTTTTTATACCTTCTCTTGGGCTTTGAACTTGAGCTTCCTGTTCCTGTGCAAGAACATGTATTTTATTGGCTGTTGTCAGACTCCCGTGGTGCCATGAACAAATCCTAGGACTTCGTCTGAGTTACGTTTGGTTGACGTTTGGGCTGATGCAATGAAGGGGCTTGTTGGGCAATTCCTATTGTAGCTGAGGGCTAACCCTAGCTTTGTTCACACCTTGCTGCAGGGAATTTGTTTATGAATAGAGCTATCTATCTCCTTATCTCTTAAGTGCTGACAAGTGCTGTGAGTTATTAAGAAAGGCTATTAAGTGTGAGTCTCCTCCCTGCCTCTAAAAATTTTTTTTTCTCCATTTCTCATCCAGGGAAATATAATATTCTGCCTTTTTAATATTTCCTAAAATATTTCATTCTTCTAGGAGAAGGGTGGGTGCAGGGGTGAAATCCAGCAGGTTCTGACAGGTTCTGGAGAACCGGTAGCGGAAATTTTGAGTCGTTTGGAGAACCTGCAAATACCACCTCTGGCTGGCCTCAGAATGGAGTGGGAATGGGAATTTTGCAATATCCTTCCCCCGGAGGGGGGTGGGAATGGAGATTTTGCAGTATCCTTCCCCTGCCACACCCACCAAGCCATATCACGCCCACCAAGCCAGGCCCACAGAACTGGTAGTAAAAACATTTGGATTTCACCACTGGGGTGGGTGCTAACTTTCTACAATAGATAGATAGATATGATAGAAAGCCTGATAGAAAAGAAGATTTGTAGCTCAGGTGGAACTGTGAAGTCCTTGGTTCTCTTTGAACTTGGTGGATTTTTTGCAGGTCTTTCACTGCCTGATTAGATAAATCTTCAGTGCTTTAACATGCAAAGGGAGTCTGATCAGACAATAAATCTGCTTTTTTACAACTCTGCACAGGATGGAGTGGAAGATTTTTTTTTTTG